CGGCCTCCTTCCTCCCCCCCCCCCCCCAACCCCAGCCCCTTGCAGACGTCATGTGGCAGCGATTGAGCTTGTGGTGGGAGCCCTCATCAAAGCCGTGGTTAGCAGTGCGCAGGCCGCAGGAGGCCTGGCTACGCTCGGGGGCGATGGGGGCCCCGGGCGCTATGGGGCAGGGGGCTGACAGGGCTTGGGCACTAAAGGGCCCATCATCCGGACTTGGGAGAGCAAGTCATAGTGCAGAGCACTTGGGATCACCAGCCTGGAGAGGCCAAAAGGGGCAATGGTGGGGGCGAGGTCCACCCCCCTGCCCCGTGGCAGGGCTGCAGAGGCGGGCAAGGGTGGGGCGAGGCGGCACTGCCCCGTGGCCCCCCATGAGCAGTCAGCAGGGCACCATCTGCTTCACATTTGGGTCATGGAGGCAGTGGTGTGTGGCCTGCCCACGCCATGAATCCACCCCTGCAGCAGGGAAGAGGATCCCTAGCACCCCTGCCCCCAGTACCCGACCCCCTGCACCAGCACCCCTCAACCCATTGCACCCCATATTCCCCCCTCCATTCTCCTATCACCCTCCCTACTCTACCTAGCACCCCAACCCTCCAGCACCCATCCCTCCTCCCCCCAGCACCCGCTCCCTGCTGCACCCACATCCCTCTCCCTGTGCTCTATTTCCCTCTCTCCTACCCCACCCCAGCCCCCAAGAAGAGCTGCTTTCCTCACATCAGCAGCTCTGTAACTCCAAACAGGAGGGAGGTGCTGAAGGGGACCAGCAGGATGGGCTCCCTTGTTGAGCAACAGGAAGGGCTGAGGACTGGTCTGGCAGTGCGACCTTCTCCCAGGCTGCCCAGAGCTGCATCCAGGACCCAGGCACCCAGGTGTCCCACTGCCTGTATGACCCAAGGGACACGGAGCAACCCCAAGGGGCAAAGCAAAGCACAGGCACATATCTAGTACGATGCCCAGATCATATACCTGCACGCCACAGAGAGCACATACAATGCACACGCAAGGTACATGCACACCCTGTGCATGCATAACACAGGCACAACCCCCTGCACATACAACAGACGGCATTGTATGCTACAATATGCAACACACCCTGCAATAGGCGATGTTTAGGGCTCTCCCTGGCTGCGGAGTGGGGGGTGATGGCTGGTGCCCCTCCTGAGATTGTGAGGGCACCAAGAGAAGCACCAGTGGCTCTTCTGGGTTTGCTGC